CAGTCATCTTTGTTCCTCCCAAAGACCTCATAAGCTTGGTGTTATTGTTAGTATCCATTTTAGAAATAGGGAAACTGAACCCTAGGGTACTTAAATATTTTGCCAAAGTTAGGGCCCAAACAGTCTAACCAATCTATGCTTCTAGACTCAAACATCACACCACCTGGGCCCTGTAGGCTGCCAGCAGCTCTCCCAGGGAAGGGAAGAGCCAGGAAAGGAAAGAGTCGCCTGCAGCAAAGACAGTGTTCTCCCATAAACCAAAAACTCTCCAGCAGAAATCAAGTCACTCATGATAGACAAAGGTAATATTTAGAGGAAGAAAAAAGTCAGACAGCGACTCCTGAGAATCGGCCATGCTGGGGTTGGGAGGAGCCGACCAACAAGCCAAATAACCAGCCTCTCTGATAAGCCACACGAGCCAGAGGACAGGCTGAGCTGGTGGCAACTGAAGTACAGGGGACAGCTGAGCACTTGCATTGTTTGGTTGACTTCGCAGGCCTATGCCCCACTTCTGAGCATCTATAGGGAAGATAACAGTGTGTGGTTGGCAAATACGGGGATTTCCTTCTATCTTGGCTTTGAAATCCAATATTGTTCTCACTGTTTTGTTTTGTTCCAACTGTATTACTTTATTCAATGTTCTGTTTTGGTCGGTTTTATTCTGTTTTGTTTTGATTTAATGTTCTATGTCTGATGAAATGGACAATTATGGTGAACATAACCAGATTTAGTATCATAGCCATTGTTATTTTCCTATTGTCCTGCTTTGAAGTTCTGTACCAATTTCACTGATTTGCTTTGATTGGAGTCATTCTGTTTTGATTTGTGGGTTTGTATTATCTTTACAGTAAAACAAAATAAAGTTTTTGAGGGGAAAAAAAAAAGAAATACTCATTTAGAAACATAGCCCAGATTTGGAGACTTGAGTTTTTCAGACCTTCTGTGACCCACTTCATCACCTCTTCACTACTATCCTTCCACAAAAACGAAATTGGGATAAAAATGAAAAAATTAAAATATCTTTACTTTCCCCCTAGGCAACACTCAGATCTCTTTCTAGAAGCCCCAGGATCCCAGAGAGCATCTCTGACCTGGACCCCTTCACAATAGGCGATTGATGATGAAGGCCCAGGCCCCCTGCATTCCTGGGCATTTTTCTCAGGGAGTCCCACCCACAATGGGGCTTTCTGTCAACTTCTCCCTCCTGGGTCCTGTGCCTCAGAGAATATCTACATTCAACAGGAGGCAAACTTCAGTCCTTTGCTGATTCTCAGAAGCCAGCTATGATCAACAGCACATCAAAGCGCCTGACATTTGCCCTGGGCAGACCCTTCATGCTCTTTCCAAAGAGCATCCACCCACTTTCTGCGATGATTAGTATTGATACTTAGTGAGCAATGACAATGCAGCACAAACAATAAGAAACACAAAGGCACTTTTTCCCCACCCAGAACCCAGAGACAACAATAACTGCAGCTCCCTGTGTCCGTACCATGGTTCAGACCCTGTGCTGACCAACTGACAGGCCACCTTCTCAAAAACAGGGGTAGGTGAGAAAACATAGGTATCCCCATTTTACAGATAGTAATGCTGACATTCAGTCTTTCCAAGATAGATCAGAAGGTTCCAAATGAGCTGAGCTCTGAGCTAATATCTCACAATGTCTCCTACTCTTCCATAACTCTTCGTGATGGGACAGAGAAAGTCATGGGCTTTGACTGATATCTAAGTCGTTTAGCTTCAACTAATATTTGAAAAGGAGAGTCAACAAAGAGAAGGGAAAATCTGAGTATTTCACTTGCGATTATGAGCAAGCTTTGCAAGTGTTCTACAAAGCAGATAGACAAGGTGGACAGAAACAGGAAATATCAAGAAAGAATGTAGGTCTCTTCTTTCAAGACAGTTGTAACTATTCCAATAAAATGTAATGAAATAATAAAAGTGGAAATCAGGGGGATTTTCATTTTCTTCTCTGTATTTATTGCCCACAAGTGCCTTCCAACATAACATTTTCCCAGGTCTGGGTCAAAAATGAGAAAAAGAAGGACATTACAAAGATTATGATTTTGGTAAAGCTAAATTTGTTCACTTTAAATGGTGATTCTTTTTTTCTGAGATTGTTTGCTTTTTCTTTTAGCATTATGCTTGTCCTTCGTAGAAAATTATGATAGAAAATATTCATGTATTTCTCTCTCTTTTCAAATTATCCTTATGTATACAAGAGTTGTCCTCCTGTTAGTTTTTCATAAACCACTTTTTAAAATTTTTATTCATTCAAAAGAGTCTTGGGATAGCTATTTCTGATTTTTTCTAATTTTTTTCTTATTAGTGTGTACTTTTTTAAATGTATTAAGTTATTTTGAAAGGAATAAACTATTAATTTTAGGGCAATCACATATACATGCTTATCATACTTAGTATAACTTTATTTTTCTTTAATTTTTTAAAATCAAGTCACTTCCAAGTCTTTGTACTATCTACCATCACTGGTAGAAAAGTGTGGAGAAGCAACATCAAAAAGGTTTTTGGCAATGTTGAAAGACTTTAGTAAGGACAGAATAATTAGCTAATGGATCAATGAGTCAAGTGAAATCTAGCAAAATAATATTTTTAATTTATTTGTTATAGAGGTAAATTGATATAGTAAGAAATCATATCTTTGTTGGACAACTGAAAATTTATTTCTCCTTTGAGAAGTGAAACTTTTAGATATGTGTATTTAAACTTTTAAATAACTTTAAAAACATAGTTATACATAACTTAAGCATATGTATCAAAATTTACATTGCACCAAATAATGCTAAGTAACTGATAATAAAAAAAATTAAGCTAATCATCTGACCTTATGGAAGTAGCCTGACAGTCAAGGAACAAAACCTCTATTGTGAAAGGACTCTATCTCAAGGGCAGACTGAGGGACAATTTGGCAAAATGAAGTTTAGGCTTGGACTAATTTCACATGCTAATGAGAACCTCCTGATAAAAGCTGCTTTATAATGGGTGCTAACCAGTTGGCAGATTAACACAATTCAGACCAAACAGAGAAGGAATTCGTCATGTTTGTCATAAGACCATATGGTTAGAAAGAAACTGGCAACATCTTAGGGGATATATTTTGAGACAATACAGTTGAGCATCCTTGACAAATCGGAGCACTACAGTGTAACAGCTCTCGCAGAGGAAATTGTGCAAAGTTCCTGTGAAACTCCTTCAATTCCTTTCTGTAGCAATAACCAGGCAGCTCCACAGTCAAAAGATTCCCCTACATGAATTTGAGCATCACTCAATTTTCTCTTTTGCAAAATTAGGAAACTAATAATATCCGTCTTCCAGGAATGTTAGGAGAATACAGCACATGTGAGACTTCTTCGTAAGCTATAAAACAAATGTTGGTTATTTTGATGAGGATGAGCTGGTAATGATGAAGATTATGAAAATGGGGATGATTGATGAATTCATCTCCTTAGAAGTGATAAACAGTCTGCACAGTGTACACAGTCCTGAATTGTGATTTTTTTCTTCCAATGTTATGGTTCCTCTTTCGTTTTGAAAATTTCTTCTGCTTGCCATGACTGTGGACAAACAACTAAACAGTGTGAAAGAAAAGATTTCTAGAATTCTACCTGCATATTAACAATGTATGATTACCAGGCTTTGAAGACAGTCACATTAGATGGAATTCTCCTTGTCTACCTGATTTACTCTTTCCCAAGTTCCCAACCCCAAGGAGCCTGTAGAAGCTCGGGAAGAGCAGATATCTCACGGGGCTGGGTGGTGGGGAAGATGATATTGTGGCACCTTCCATACCGCAGATGTCTTCCCGTAGGTGTGTGGTTTTCAGGATAAAGCTAACCTTGGCCAACTGATATACAAAATATTTTTTTCTGTCTAAAATTATACTAACATAGTCTAATAATATTATTTGGTGGAATCATAAGCAAATTCCATAGGTCAAATTACCAGAGTCAAAAATAACCTAAATGCTACCAATTTCACATGGCTCCACCTAACACTTTGCTCAATGTGATCTTTAGCATGAGGGCAAAGGGTTTGAATTTCAGTTGACAAATGGACTTCAGTTCAGATCTCATTCTGCCATTAGTAACTGCTAATTGTTGAGCAATTAATACAGTCGTGGAAAAAATAAATGAAAATTACAAATCAAATCTATATCTATAAGAAGAGAAGATAGTAATGTAGTTTTGAGGTGGCAAACAATTTTGAGAATTTCAGTTGCCAAAATATCACCCTCTTTGGGTAATTTCAGTCATCTGGAACAAAGCAAAGACAGAAGTGAGCAAAGGAGATTTTTTTTAAAAAAACAAACACCAAAACCCCAAGCCCCTCATTCCACAGACGTGATAGAAGCACAGTGATTTGGCTAGGACTACTGTGTGTAAAGGCTACATGAATTGCAGAATGAAACAGTGTAACTTCCAAGGTCAGATACAGAGATTTAAAATATATAGCAGCATTTGCAGAAGATGTAGGTCTTCTCAGTGGCCGGACAGTATCACCATATTGCAAGTTGGTGTCACTACTTGAAAACACAGAAACATGTGCATTACCACATGGCTACTTCCACATTAATAAAGGAACCATTGAACTAAAGCCTTAGTGCAGATGCTTGTGCATCCGATGCCCACCGCTGCTGAGGAGGCATAAAGGGCTCCTTGGACCACCTGCTCATTGTGGCCACGCATGAGAGCTGGGTGTGTCCTCCAGGACAGCTGGCTTGTGCAGGGAGAGGAAGGTCTAATCAAGTTATTAGGATACATAGAAAAATAGCCAACACACAGAATCAAAATAAAGAGGTTGAAGAACCAAGAAATTTGAGAGCAAAGTCTAGAAGAGTCCAGACAGTGGGCCAGATGAATATTGAAAACAAATTCACTACTTGGGGTAGGTTTTACACAATCTGACTACGGGTGTGAGTTGACAAACAGACTCCTTTTAAAGACACCAGAAAGCGATGAATGAACTTTGTATGTAAAACTCACCCAAGGAGGATGCCTCAGTTCCAGTCAAGGGTAAACTCCAGCTTGTTACTAGAAATGAAGATAACACAGTGTTAATTTTAAGTACAGTCAGTATTTATTCTGAACAGCTGTTAATACAGCAGTTTGAAAGAAAGCATAGAATTTGTGTTCAGACAAACTGTCATCTGACTCAATTATGCACTAGTCTTGTGTCCAAGAGTACATGCTTGAATCTGTGAGCTTTAATTCTTCATGTTTAAAACAGGGGCATTCATACCACCTGCACAGGACTGCATGAAGACCAAATGGGTCCACAGAAGACAGTGCTTTGTATTTGGTGAATACACAATAAGTGTTAGAATGCTTCTCTACTCTGTATTGATGATTCATTTATTAGTATCTAAAATAGTTTCAGGATTTATTTTGGCTTCACAAGTCAATTTCCCTTCTAATAGCTGCTGGACATGCATCTCTTCCTAATCAGGCTTCCCCAATTATTCTGCCAAAGCAGTGTACATTGTAACCCTCTACTCAGAATCTGCATCTGAGCCTTATTTCTGATCATAGTGCAGAGTATCCATCAGCTGAATGTCAAAGCTAGGAAGAGCTTATTGTCAGCTGGTGGCAGCAGGGAAGAAAAAAAATCCTTAAAAAGCAAGAGTAACCTCCCCCACACCTGCCAAAAAACAAAACACAAAGCTGGCAGCCCTCTACCTCCCAGGGTGAGCAGCTGCTCGGGGCCCCAGCCCCTACCTCTCCCCATCGATCAGCTGCTCCACACTTCATCCTCCAGAGGAGTCCATGATGGGTCTCGGATCCCTGCTCTCTGGACTTATCAGGAGCAGACATCTGTGGCCATGTCTGTGGGGACCACCCAGAGGGCAGCTGGAGAACCCTGGGGCTCCCCAAAGAATGTGCAGAAAGGTCAAGGATCACATGCTCCAACCAGTTCACTAAAAGCATCTCAGGGAGACCCAGTGAAAAGGTCAACTTAAGATAGTGACAGGGCACAGCTTGAGGGGGAAAGACAGGAGGGAACAGAAGAATTTCTTTTTTAAGTAGCAAAAAGTACATCTGTTTCTGGCTCAGCTTAGACTTTCAAGTCTGATTTTTATTTCGATGGCATTTCCTTGGCTTTTCCAATTCATGTCTAAATCACAAAATGCGGCCATTGTGCGCTTCTGGGCTTGCGTGTGCCACGGAGCACAACACTGCAAACGCGTTTTCTCACTTCATTAAACATTGCTTGAAAATGGCATCCAAATGTCCGCTCTCACCATCCCGTCTGGGAGAGGAGATTGTGTTACTTTTCCCCCCAGTGGGAACAGAAGGAACAGTGAAGTCACAAGCTGTGATGTTTAATATTTTTCAATTTCACATGTCCAGCTCTGCAGCCGTGGTCAGCCATGCCACTGCGTGGAAGAGCTCAGTTGTCCCGAGGAAGGTCTCATGTGGCCTGCAAATCTCTGATCTCTGCAGCAGCAGCCAAAACTGGCCTCAGCCCTGGGGAGGCGTTTGCACTTCACTGGGTGAGGTGCTGACTGCACTCCCACAGGCAGGCCAAGACGCGTTCTGCTGACTTAGAAGATGCCACGTAAATTAGAACTCATGTAGCCATATGGTTCAAACCTGCGGGTCATATTTTATACACAAATGACTATGACAGGCGGTATTTTTGTGCTGACAAGTTGTATTTCATCCATGTTTACTTAGAATTCCGTGCTATCATTAAAAGGCAAGGGATAGAACTTTATTCTAGTTTTGTGCAAAAACTTCATTAAGCTTCCTTCCTATTAAAAGAAGAAAAATCCACCCAGGCAATTTTTGTTCCCTCAGTGACTTGTGTTATCCAAGTATTTAGTGTGATGGTTCTGACATTAAGAGTGTAACTGTTCTTGAGCCCTGGTTTCTATAGCTGGCCAATGGAAAGTGGGCTGAATATCTATTTTATTCAGGTCCCAAAAGTAGGAAGTATATTAGCTTACCAAGCACCCCATGCTGAGTGACTGCTTGTGTCTGAAAACAGAATTCATGAACTGAACCTTACACAACTTTAGGGAGAAGAGCATTTCCGGTTCAGTAGCCTGTAGCTTCCAAGGCCTCTCAGTTAATAAAGAAAAGAGTCACTGGGATGTAATCATGCATACCTGTAACCCTAGCACTCTGGAGACTGAGGCAGAAAGATCGAAATTTCAAGCCTAGCCTGGACAGCTTAGTGACTTAGCAAGATCTTGTGTCAAAATCAAAATAAAAAGGGCAAAGTATGCAGTTTAGTGCAAAGGCTCTGGGTTCAATCCCACCTACCACCAAAAACAAAAGAAAGAAAAAGAAAGAAGAGAAGGAAGGAAGGAAGGAAGAAAGAGGAAGGGAGGAGGGGAGAAATGGAGGGAGGGAGAAGAGAGGAGGAAGGAAGAAAGGAAAGATGGAGGGGAGGGGAGGGAGGGAGGGAAGGAGGAAAAATAGTAAACAAAATTCTATCTGGGTCATCCTACAGTCTTCAATCCTTCAAAGACAAAACTTAGAATAGTGCAAGTTTATTAGAATTCTGATTCAACCCACAATCCTGCAAGTCTTAGAGACTTTGTGACTATATTAAGGTTGTAGGAACAAACAGATTTCAGCAAAACCTTGAACTGAAAAAGGAAAAAAAAATACATACACAAATACAATAATACCTTCTGCTTTGGGGAAAATGCCTTGGACTTCCACACAATCACCTCTTTGCCTTTCCAATCCAAAGTGACCCTATTTTCTGAAGTAAAACCAGGCAGAAAAAGAATTTTTGTGATTTAAGAATGAACTGATAGATAATATTCCAATGAAACTATCAAAATTACAGCCACTTTGTGACATATTTGACAATGGGCTTCTCCTAGAGTAATTTCTCACATTTAAATCAGGACTGCACTCAGCACCCCAGGCACAGCTCCTGGGGAAGTGTGTTCAAGAAGGCCTCAGGGTCGTCTCTGCACAGGAGGACATCAGGTCATCTGCTCTCAAGCCAGGAGACCTGGGTTTGAATCCTGATCACATGCGTTCCTCCCTGTAAGCATTCTCATCTGGTGAAACGGCACAAAACACACGTGGCTGACAGGCTCACTGACTGCTGTTCTGCTGTATTCCAGCTGAACACTAGGAACTGTCAAGGGGTTGCTTCCCACAAGGAGAAACAGGTAATGGCTGACATCTGATTTGACCACCCTTCTCTTCTCTTGGCATGTCTCTTTTGTCTTCCCCAGGTATTTATCTTTCAAGTCTTCACTGACAATGGCTTAGGGACTGATTCATCCCTGGTGTATTTTAATGAAAGACTACAAAACCTTAAAGCCTTGAAAGACTGAAGGGAATAATTTGCCTTTAATGAACATGTGTCATTCTATTATAAAAGTAATATATGATTACTACAAAAGTGAAAAATGCAGAAAAGTAAAAATTAGAAGAATTTCCCATCATGCCGTTACCCAAATAAAAGCTCCATTAGCAGTTTGCTGTCCCTTCAATATGGTTTTTACAGTATTAAATTGGGATGATTATGTTATTCTCAGTTTTGAGTTAGAACAGAATGCTTCTACAAATTTGTATGCTTCTTGTCATTTAGCATCGTAAGTCAGAAGCATTTTCCACATCAACATAAATTTCTCAAGTAATCATGTTTGATGACTGCAAAGTAAGTGACTCAATTCTAAAGTAAAATTGCATTTAAAATGTGTTGCTATTATTATTATTATTTGTATTGATCAGCGTTCCCTTTGCTGAATAAAATACCCAAACCTATAATTTAAGAAGCGGTTTAATTTAGCTCACAGTTTCTGAGGTGTTCTGGCATGGCTGGTGGGCTCCCAGGCAGGCTCCCATGCTGAAGGGTTCATTGCTTACTTCATAGCAAACAGAAGCAGAAAGCAGAGAAAAGTGCCAGGTAATAATACTCGCTCCAAAGGCAGCCACCAATGACTCACCTCCAGCTGGGCTCCACCTCCTAGAGAGCATTCGGCTTGGAATAGTAGTGGATGAATCCACCTGTGAGACGGCACTCCTGTAATCCAGTCACTTTTCCAGGAGTCTCTTAATCCAGTCAATCTGGCAATTAAGATGGCAGCACTTCCAGCTCTAGCAAATGCTGGAGAAGATAAATGTATGCAATCAAAACTAAATGCAAGTTCTCTGAGGGTAGGGAGTTTTTATCATGTCTCTTTTTATTCCCTGCCATAATTTTGATACATACACTAGTGCCTGGCCCACAACCAGACATTAATAAATAAAAATAAAGAGGATGAGTATGTAGCCTCTCAAATCGCTTTCCCTAGTGCACCACTGAATCCTGGATTGCTATAAACTCCTTCTGCAGAAGGACCGAAAAGTAACTTAATCTCTGCAGGCTTTCATTTCTTCCACTTGCTAAAATACAGTAAGAGTAAATAATGACTCTTAAAAATGGCAATAGATTTTTTTAAAGTACTATTTCCCACTTACCACTCTCATGGGCATGTTTTAAAACTACAAGGAAATCTGAGACCACTTCGAATTGTTTTGAAAGTTATTCAAAAAAATTTTTAAATGCAAGATATGAAGGCATATTTGTGAGTCTCTGATCCCCAAATGTGTAAATATTTTGGAAACTGCCAATGAACAAGAGAAGTACCTCACTGGTCTGGAGATGGTAGAATTTTGTCTCATACGTGCAAAAACCTGGGTTCAACCCCAGTACCACACACACATAAAAACATTTATCTAATATAAAATTAAATTATAAGAAATCTTTTACATTGTTCAGGCAATGGTTTTAATTCCCAATGAAACACATGTAAAGATTTTTACCCTGTTAATTTCTAGAAGTATCAACTGTTATAAATCTATTTAAATCCTAGAGTCTCATACTAAGAACTACAGCATCAATGGTTCAAGTTAAGAGTCAAAAACAAGTCTACAAAAAACCTTAAATAATAACTGAATAGAACAAAGAGATTTTCTGAAATCTTCAAACCAAGTGGAAAGTCTCGAAGGTGGAAGAATATTCCCCTCTAATCTAGGAGCCACAGAGAATTTGTCCTTGTATTACTGAGTACAGTGGGCCTCTGTACACATGGGTTCCCCACCTGCAGATTCATTCAACCACAAATTAAAAATACTTGGGAAAAAATTGCATCCATAATGAACATGTACAGATTTTTTTCTTGTTATTTTTTCCAAAAAGATATAAATAATCTAGGGATGGTTTGAAGTGTACAGGAAGGTGTGTGTGGTCTTATGAAGATATTACCACCTTTTATAAAAAGGACTTGAACATCTGCAGATTCCACAAGAGTCCTAGAACCAATCATCCCTGGATATTAAGAGACAACTCTAATTCTTAGTACATTTTTTACCCTTCCAAAACTTAAAGATGTGTGTGCTTGCGTATCTATTGTATGAGTGATTTGAAAACAATTTTAACGTGGACACAAAAACTATTAAAACTTAAAACACTATCAGTGTCATTGTCAACCTCTTACATGAGCTTCAGCACAAAGTCCAAGGAACCGAGGGAGGACATGCACTGTCACATGCTTTCTTCTGTCCCAGCACACAGGACAGACACCAGATGATGGACAGGTTCCTTGGGCACCCGCAAAGGTGAATGAGAGGTTGTGAGATGTAACCCTGACTGACGACTAAGGGAAGTGGGGAGGATCCATGTGATTAAAAAAGAGGAGCTAGAGAACTTCGGGGATTTTAAAAATTAATATTTAATTATGAGAAAGAATGTTTATGCAAGACAGTGACCTTTTTTTTCCCATCTCTACTGGGGCAGGTCAAACGAAAATGGTCTTAAGCTCTAGCAGAGTGGGTTTAGGTAAGGAAGAAGAAGGAATTTCCTGAATGTGGAGGTCGTTAAAAACTGGAATGAGTTACTAAGGGAGTCTGTGGACACTCTTCCTCCGGGGAACATTTAAAAATAAGATAAATTTTCATCTGTCAGGGAGGGTTTAGAAGTAATCCAACCAGAAGGCCTCTCAAAGCATTTTCCAGCCGTAAGAACTGACGACCAAATTCCCTCCAATTTTATTTCCACAGTTAGCTAGACATAAGATAGAGACTAGAAACAAAATTCAAGATTTCAGATAAAGTAACTAGAGGCTATTGCTTTTTGTTCTATCGTAAGACTGCACATTGCCTACAAGGCTAAAATTGTAATCCTTCCTGGAAACCACATCAAGGAAAAAGTTCACAACTCATAACTTGGCAACTTAACAACCGTTCAGACACCTTCAGTCTCATCTTGCAGATGCAAAATGCCACAGCCTCCGTTATGCTTTTTTTGTTCCCTTAGGTCCACTGAACACACCTTTCCAGTTTTTAATTTTATCTTTCCCAGATCGTCATTCCAAATATTCCATTTTTACAGCTAGTTGGGTTCTCCAAGCAGTGTTTCAAAACCTAACCAAATACTTTCCCAGCAATTATTTGGCAAGGTTTCAATCTTAGCTATATCAAGCTTAAAAGCAAGCTCACATTTTGAAAAAAAATTGTGTTCAGGCACATTCCTTCCTTTATATTTTCTCCTGAGTTTTAATCAAGCCAATCAGTGGATTTCTTTATACCTCCAAGGACAGAATATTCTGGCACTAAGTGTTGATAAAACTCTCTCCTGTATAATTTACCAGCTTTGTTTGACTCTCATGGCTTCTCTCTCTTTAAAATGCTTAAATCTCCTTTGTTTCAAGCCAAAACAAGAATTTTAAAATGAATTGTTAACTGAGCCCGCCTCCCTGATCACTGGGGCCTCCTCCTCTTCATTCTTGGCCCGGGTTTTTCTTTTTCCTTTATTTTCTCCCTCCTCCTCTTCACCCCCTCACCCTAAGATATTTGTCAAAAGTTCCTTCTGAGTTCTCTAACTCTTTTGTCTGATAGGAACACTCTGAATTCAAATGTAAAAACACAGAATTTGGCTTAAGTAAGAAAATGAGAGACTGAAAAGAGGGAAAGAGCTTCAGCCATGCTGAGCTACGTGCTTTTTAACAGTTATCTCTTAAACTGAGCAAGAAAAACCCTTGCAAATCTCAACTGGGCTCCTGTCTTGGCAGGGTTTGGACACAAAGAGATAAGAGACCTCCTAGAGAGACCACATGAACTTATTCATCAGTTGTGAATCAAAGTAGATTATAATAATTCAATTATTCATGAGACTATCACGTGTCTACAACTTTGCTACCAGTTCTGAAGTATGATCATCAAAATAAAAGAAAATCATTTTTACTTTTATCAAAGCTTCTTAAAGAAGTTTCAGTCTTGGGAGGGGTGCAGTAAGGAGGAAGATCAGTTTAGTCTTTATTCCCCATGAGGAAAATGAGAGAAGTGTGTTCTCTTGTGGTACCAACAGAGGAAACCAGGATCATATATTGATGTAACTTGCCCAGGGCGGGCAAAATAATTGTAAAGTTCTCCACCTCCACATGTGGCATATCCTTTTCCCTAATTAATATGGGATTTATCTGTATAAATAAATAATGAGATAAAAATTAAAATTAGCTATATTTATATTTGTACACCAAAATATACAAATTTGAGCTTATGGATTATCCTTCAAATAGTAAAACACATTACTATTGTCATTACTACTATTTACTAAAATCATTAAATATTTAGCACGTGGAGAACAGATGATCAATAGGTATCAATCTTCTTGGCAATGGTTGGTCTCATCAAGCCTTTCCACCTATGAAAGCCCAAGACTTACCTGGAGACAGTGTCAGCTCCAGGTCTCCTGCAGCTATCCAGAGTTCAACTTTCCTTTCTCAGAAAAAGAGATGGTGATAACAGGAAAAGGTAGAAGTGGAGGTGGAGATAGAGGTAGACAGAGATCACAGAGCATCCTTTGAATTGGTCCTTCCTGAGGAACACACTCGTACCCAAACATGATCCATGATGAACAAACTATGCTAGTGCACTGCTTGTTGAGTGGTTAGCTCTGCTATGCAAACTGCTGGTCCAGTCCTTCATGGAACAATCCTTGGACTGATACGTTGTTCTTAATGGAACAGTCTTGGGCTGATTATATTTTTGCCCCTGAAAGCACTGAGATGTTCACATAAGTGTATTCAGACTTTCCATCTAGTCATTTCTTTACTTCCTTTCACCCAACCACCACTCTCAGTAAAGGAGAATCTTTATTTTTACACATACTCTGAGCTTTTTGCCTTGAAATTTTTTACCTAAAGACAACAAACTGGTTCTGTCTTGGTTCCTCCCTTCCCCTTATTCAAATACAGGTAAAATGCAGAAATACCTCCAGGGCACCATGTCCTGTGTCAAAACTTCTAGAAACGAGGCCCATTCTACTCCAGCAAAATAAACCACTCTTTGAACAAGAGTCCAAAAGTTAGAGGAAGGAGAAGATAAACACTGCCCATCTCTTCATAAATTATGTATTATCTGAGCCTAGAATGCCCCAAGGGGTCATGAATTTAGAGATCTCAAAAACAACAACAAACAACCAATATGTGGCACCTTGTGTCTTAAAACTCATTACAGTCCCAGGAATGAAAGTATAAGGAGAAAAAAAAGAAAAAGAAAAAAAATAGTGAATAAATTATTTAGAAGAAAAATATTTTCATGATTTTTTGCATTTTTTGAACTTTTCCCAATAGTTTCAAAACCAGTAGAAAGAGAAGGAGCCCTGTCTCCTAAATTATTCCTTGAATTCAAATGATCTGTGGTCCGGGATTGAAAGGATCCTTCATGCCTTTATGAATTAGATGGAAAAGTACGGAATACTCTGGTCTTAACGCTTTCTTCTCTTTCTAAAATGTCCTAAAGAAAAGCAATAAGGTGATTTACTCAACACCAACAGAAACTATTTTTTAATCAGATTTTCAAATTAATGAAATCCCTATTCCTTATACTGGGTTAGCTATTGCATTTTTTTTTTTTAAGTGCTGGCCCTTCTCTGGTATCTGCAATCTCACATGTTTTTCAGAGCAAGCTCCCAAAGCATTTTGTTCCTCTGGCCCGAAGCACAGGGCCATGAAGCTGGATTAGGCGGAGCTGGCGTCTGACACATGTTACATGTACATGAACATGTGGCACGAACTCAGCAGCTGTGAGCTCCTCGGGATGTTTAGCTCATCCCAGGACCCACAG